GATGAAAAGGGGGGGGGGGCGCGAGAGAGAGAGAGAGGGGCCAGGGCGTTCATCTTCCAAATGAACCAGCCGCTCGGGGATCGGTTTAGGTCAGTTCCAGACGATAGGAGGGAATTTGGACATATGGGATGCACGTCGGAGAAAGAGTAAGGGAAGGGTTAAGACGTTCCCTACCGGTCGGTGCGGCCCGCTGAACTCTGCGACTGCTCAAACGGCTATCACTGCAGGCTGCGCATGTCGGAAGGAAATCTTCATTTCTTAGACCTTCTCGGCCTAGGGAAGCCGTGCAGACGCAATCCATGCCGTCGGTTTCATCATGCAATGAAGCCAGAAAGTCACGTTTCACTTTCTCTAAGCTTCTGTGAGTCATCCCGATGCTAATATTGAGGTGGCTGGTCGGCCGGAATCATGAACACACTCCTGCAGGCAAGCACAATACGTTGCTCCTGTATATTGTCATAATCGACATTTAGGGATGTAAAATGTTCCGCTCAAAAGTGAACACATCTACCTGGATAATGTCAGTCCTGTATAAACAAGACAACAATATAATGAACGCGGCCAATGCTTCCAGATGTGCCATAAAAGACTTCGCAGATTTAGAATTAGCTCGAAAAGTGGTAGTGGCGAGACACAAGGGAAGGAGCAAGAAAAAGTGAGGCCAAGCCGATGATGCTTTTCGAAGACTCGCGTTTTTAAGGACAAGCCTACGGTCGTCAAAGACCTAACATTCATTTCTCCTATTACAATTGGGAAACAATAAATTTCCCAGAACTGGATGTATTCGATTATGATGTAATGTGAAACCCAATTTTCAATGGCTTTCCCTTTCTTCAACCCCCCTCCCCCCCTGCCTCTCTATGGGGCTCACTAACGCCAGGCCTGGACCTAACCAACAGACTGCCTTCAGGTCACGTCAAGGCCTACCTTTTTATTTAAAAAAAAACTTAATTCTCGACTTACGACGCCAATTAGGCCTATAAGGGGAATCGTGGTCTTCGAGACATCTGGTTGAGGACGTGTAACGTTAGGCCAAACGCAGGCTTATTCATACGTTCATGAACCATTTCAGAATGAACGTGTAACGTTAGACAGATTGGAGGCCTGTTTCGCGTTTCATGAACCATTTCAGTGGGACGTAGAACGTCAGGCCCATCTGGAGTTTATCGAACCACCTCGAATAGGTCTGAGGAGAGAATGCCTTTAAGAAGCATGAAATTCATGGTACGCACCATCCTGTTAATTCAGGGATGTCCGGATAAGATATCTGTATATCCCACCACATCGATCAATAACAGCTAACCGCAGCTTCATTCTCAACTCATCTTATGAACTCAGCACAAAAATGCCTCATAAATTGAAAAACAGGATCCAGACGCCAGTACGAAGGTTGAAACAGTCTTGAATCTGGCATAGTTTCGGCACGGTATCCGGCAACACTGGGGGACGGTACCGGAGCAAGCACTCTAAGCCTAATTTAACGACAGCTAATTTCATTTTTTATGGCGAAATGGAGCATCGCAAACAGCAAAAAAAGCCACTTTTCGTCATCTACGTATCAATATCTTTCTTATGGTTCGTTTCTTTCCTCCGAAAACCCTCCAGGAGTGCAGGAGTGGCTACCCAGGGGGGGGATAGGAAAATCAAAAAAAAAAAAAAAAATTGATTCACATCCTCCAAAATCGAGATTCAGTGTTCTCCACAACCCCAGGGAGATGGAGCTTCAAATTTGCTGGAGCGATTCTGTGGTGAAAGAGGAAGAAGTAGGCCAAATTTCGTTCCTGTTGATGCTCTCAGAGAGGAATACGAGGAGGTTGAATTTTGCGGCGGGAAGGGCTTGAAGAAGGGTAAAAGGCGCTACCAAAGCCTATTGATTGGCAAGGTTGTCAAGTTAAGAAGAGTGATACGGAATGAGATACGTTTCCCGCTCTCGAGTCTCATTTCTCTTCTGGATTCTGTTCCAGTGACGTTACAGCGGTCGAGTGCGGCTCTGAGTTCCCATTGCTGCATCGACTTCATCCCTGGCATAGAGGGTTTCCTCAATCGACACCAGGATCGAGCTCAGAGCAATGTTCTTCTTGCTGGGACTCTCGCCTCGCTCATCGGTGCATGTGTCGTCTTGTAAGCTGTTTTTCCACTGAAATTTCCATATCATCGTGGGAGGACTTCGGACAGGAAGACCATTACGATAGGTTGTTGAAATGGAACCGAAAAGCAAGAGAAGCAGTAAAGAGCGATGATACCCGAGGAATCGATACCATTGAAACGCGTGAACGAGGCCATCGAAACAAAGAGGACCTCGAAATTTCTCCTTCTAAAGACCGGGAAGTGGGAGACGAAGAAATCGTAAGCAGCAAAGACGAGGCCATCATCACAGAACTACTAAGACCTGATATGACAGAGGAGGAAGAAGACAAAGGCAGCATGGCTTCCTCTCACGTATCGGAAGCAAGCAAGGTCAGTTTGCTTTCCCATCCTTGTAGTACCCGCCGACATTCCATGTTTTTAGGATTGACCGTCGCCTCGTCGATCCCTTCGACGTGACAGATGCAAGAGGATCCTTCCGGTGTGGAATGGATGAACAGGGAAGACTTGCAAGACGTTCAAGATTCCCCAAACGTTCCCATGTCAGAGTCTTCTTCCTTCCTCATTTTCCCAAGGACAACATCCGACACTGAGAAGAAACTCCAGGCTCCTTTTCTCGGTTTCTCGTCTTCGACTTCCGGCGTGGATCCGGGAAGAGCGGCCCCGTCTGAGGAAGATCTCTTGCACGGGACACGGAACGTGGGATTCGATTCCGGGGGAAAATTTTCGCATCCCTTAGGAAAGGAGGCAGGGAAGGAAGAATGTTCTTTCCCTCCGAAACCGACAGCGAGTCTGGAGAAGTACAGAGAGTTCCAGTCGGACGCATCTCGGGAGGTGAAAGGCCAGAAACGGGAGCAAGGCCCGCTGACCGAAAAGAAAGAGAGCGGTAAAGCCGGCGGAGCCACTTCCAAAGTCCAGTCCCCCAAGAAAGAAACTAGGAAGATGGTGGGGCCCCCTTCGGAGAGAGACCAAAGGAACGCGAAAAACACGAAGCCACTTCCTGTCTCGACGAAACGCCAGCTTCGACAGAGAGGAGAAATGCGTCCCATCCAAGTGAAAGATAAGGGAAAGGAGAAGACAGAGAAGCGCAGAATGGGGAGTTTCAGATCGAATCGAGCCTTCCAGATGCGATCAGAATGGGCCACCAAGTCGGCAGCTGCAGGGATTTCGACATCCCTTTCGGGGAAACGGAATCCACTTTAGAAAACTCACATTCCATTGTCTCTGACAAAAATGACTTTTTTCCTTTCCCCTCTTCCGTCCCATTCCATTCATTCCGTCTTGCCATCTCACGGTCCGCGTTTTCCCTTCATCATCATAAGGTGACGTGACCCCAATCTTTTTCATCGAGTTCAGTCATGCAAGTCGACGTTGCACGATTCTCGTCGTCGGGAACTCTTCGCTCCTCGAGTGCTAAATTTCGGCAGGTTTCGGCAGTGAGCAAGATCAAAAACCTGGTCAAACTATTAAATATCCACTTGAACACACGGGGAACACGCGATGAATTCTCTAAACGTGTGATTTTCCAGAGATCAAAATGAGAAAATCGCTTTGATGACCTACGAAGGATTCATGATGCTGACAGTTATAAATGAGTCCAGAAGGAAAGGAACTCGTTACCGAAATTTCCTGTTCTGAGAAGGGGCGTGACCAGGAGACTAGGGCCAAGGCGGCCACGCAAGGAAAATACCCTCGAGTTGTTTTTTTTTTTCCAGACATAGATTAAGAAGTGAGATGCAATCATGTTGCGAACCCGGTCCCGGTCCCCCAAATCTGTAAAGAAACTCGACGGAGGGTTCTCGAATTTTTTGTCTCACCATACGTTGCAGTCTTGCGACGCTTTCTGCCGTACGTGAACGTGACGTTATGCGCGCCCTTTCTCGAGAACTCGAAAAAGATACAGTAGAATTCGATACCGTTTAAAAGGCCTGCCTCTCACTTGCGTGAACCCGCGAGGCAGAAGATAGCCGAAGGCTAACGAAAGACTCGAGTCGAAACCGGCTGTGAACGAGCGTAGCGAAAGAGAAACGGGTGGGCATCGTCCAGGATCCATGAGATCGATCTAGGATCCATGAGATCGATCTAGGATCCATCGCATCGAGACACTCTGGTCCTCGTCGCTACGAATGTTCCCGCGCGGACAGACGGGTACGGGTAGCAGAGTGACGTTTCCCTCGAGGTCCATGATGAACGGGAAAGTCGATATCCTCGCGAATCGTGATCGAACTGTCACATCGATGGAGGAATTTCCAAACGAGGACTCGACAGTGTCGCGATGAGAGTGAATGTTGGCCTTTCTGCACGAGCCATCCGTTTACAAGGCGGGGAGGGATTCCATACGATGTCATACGACGTTCGAATGCAGCGTCTCGCATGTTTGAACCCAGCATCAAAAATGAATCCTTGCCGGGCAATAGTTGCCTGTAGATCGACGACCCTTATCGCGTTTCTCCCGAAGGAGAGACCTCAGAGGACAGGATCCGTCTGAAACAGGGGACGGTGATGGAGGAGGAAACGAAGAGATTGTGCTGTACGGAGGGATGACCCTCCGATGGCTCTGTGCGTCGTCCGTCTCCAACCTCGATTCTTCGTCGGGCCCATTCACCATTCCACCGAGCTCATCCATGAATAAAATCATAAAGATCCCGTGCTAACTTCGAGTCGATTTTCTCACGATGCAAGAATCCACGGATGAGGGAGATAGCAGCGACGACGATGACGTCCACTCGGGAAGCGCATCTGACACCGATAAGGGCCATCCTCTCGTCGATGGCTTTTGGTTCGAGCCGGTCCAACGACACGAGCCTGCATGCCGAAACGTATTTCCCGTTTCCCTTCCGGACGAGCGAGGACTCGACCGTGGAGGAGGCTCATTCGCAGACTCGCTCCCGTCTCCATCCGGCGCTTCGAGGAAAAGCCTCTCGGTTTATCGTCTACCGTCCTTCTCTTCGGGATTCCACGCCGTTTCTCACTCCGTTTTCACGCCTCGTCTTCGTCTCGTCCCTCCTCCGTGGCACTCCAGAAGCGGGACTCGTGGATCTTCAGCCAGAATAGAGAGATTCGAGCCAGGCCTAGACCTTGCTTCTCACCTGCGTCGTCATCGATCCCCGATAAGCGTGAAGCGCTGGATGGAACGTCACACGTCATACCATCGACTTCTCGAGTGCATTCAGTCTTTCATTGTTGCCGGTGGCGCGGTTGCCCGTCTCCGAATTCCAGTCCTCACGACTCGCGAGGAGACTCAAAGACGAAGGAAAATTTTATTTCTGCTCGCATGCGGGCACGAGGGCCTCTCTTATCGAATTATTTTCAGCCTTCACGCCGACTCGACTGACGCTTTCGATGAGATTTTCCGCTCGAGTCAAATGGGCAAATGGAATGAGCTCGGAGAGACGTTTTGTACGCACGGTTTTCCGGTTCATCCAGCGGTTTTCAAACCTTTCAAGCGAACTGTACCAGACTGGACCATAACCTCGATCGAATCGGCAAAATTAATCGAAATTCATGCAAGTTATAAAATTTGTGGCTAGTCTACATGACTTCAAATTTTTTTTTATTTCAATGACGAAAGTCACTAGTGCCAGTGCTTGTACGTTAATCGGTGGTTGAAAATCACCGATCTAATGCCAAGTGCGGAACGATCCAGATGACATGTCGACTTGGAAGAACCACGCCATCAGTCACGAGGTTGGAAAGCGATCGCGATCGTTCAGCAAGTCCAGGAGTTTCTGAACCGACCGAACGATCGCATCCGATACGACAGCCTCAATTTCCGCTCCGCCCCGCGTCTCAGAAAAGCGAGGAATCCTGGGAAATGGCTGGCCCCTACGAGAAGCATGCCCCACGAGACGGAAGGATTTGTCCGCGACCGATTCGAGCGAAATAGGCGCACTCTAAGAGGAACTCCTCGTCACCGATCGCTAGGATCTATAGCGTGGCAACGAGAGCGGAATTCTCCGCCGTCGAAGCCTGTCTCCGATTGAAAAGACGAAGACGAAAAAGATGAGGATGTTTCTATTGCGGGCCGGGGCGGTAAGCCCCCGCCGTGTGTCGCCAGGTTTTCCACAATTACCGGCGAGGATGAGTGATTAAAAAAAAAACACCTTCCCTTTCGTCCCGAGCACGTCGAGGCGACGACTTCATGATCACTTCCTGAGAAACTCGGGATGGGAATATCTGTCGCTTATGCACAGGAAATGTCAGAGGTCGACGTCACTTGTAACTGGAATCCTCTTTCGGCCCGACGCGGATCCTTACAATTTTTTTTTCATATTTTCAAACGTGGGAAATCGGAATCGATGCTTCCGATGCGCAAGCTCGCATTCGCGGACGACCAGCCTACGACGAGGCCTAGCAATTACCACCGTATCCTATGTAGTCGAAACGCTTTACCGAGATACTCGATGCAGAGATCGCAGCATCCGCAGGGGATGCTTCCATTCTTGATGATCTTCCCCTCACAAGGCTCGGACGGGTCGTAGCAATGACTTAGGGTGGCGCTGTTCGTACACGTTTGTTCCTCCACGCAGTTGAAGACTTTGGCCGATGCGATCCCGAGGATGCACACGAGCACTGCGAAGAGGAGCGGGTGGAGGCGATTCCCTTCCATCGTTCACGAGAGGGAACGTTGCGAATCTCTCTCTCTGCCCGTCTCCCTCTGTCTTCGCATTCTTCGATTAGATATCGTTTCCGTTATCGCGTGGTTGTGACGCTGTGCATGAATCACGTAGTGCTTCTTCACGGGGATGTCGCCCGTAACGCGGCGAGACAGATCCACCCGACGAGAAAAATATGAGAGTGAGAAGCCTTCACGAGTAAATTTCCGTTCAACATATCGAAACGAAGAATTTCCCTCGGACGTGATCCCCCCCTCTCCTTCGTTTCCGATTCTCTTTGGGTTTATGTCGTCGCGGAAACACCACTCCGACGGTATCGAAGAAAGAAGCCCCAAGAATGAATGAGATTAACTTAGGAAGTCACGTGTATTTTGCCGTCCCGGAAAGGGGATATGTCCTGAAAATACCGCCTCCACCCGTCAGTTCTCGTCCATCCGCCTTCGACGATGGATTCGTTGAAAGCCTTCTGCCTTCTCCTGATGGCGTCTGTCCTCCTCCGGCACTCTCTCGGCTCCGTACCGGGTGAGTCACTGTCAGGCTGTCTTGCACTTCCACTCGGCACTCGGATGCATGGGACTCGTTAATGGGGCTGCAGAGGATGCCGTCGATGAGAGCGATTTCGATGAGGACGAGAAGGACGAGAAAAAGGACTCAAACGTGAAAAAGACCTGTTCGTGTGCCACTACGTCGGGTGCCTCCAAAAGAGATCTCTCGAAGAACGACGTCTCGTGGAAACAAGCCGGCATCTCGCAGGTATGTCGGTTCTACGATCCGCGTCGCTCGAAGGCGGAACGATCGCGATGAGCATTTCCGCGTGTCCCTCGTGGTAGGAGGAGTACGTGATGCTGAAGCGAGAGAGGCGACGAACGACGAAGGATGCCCTGGAGATGCTGGCATCTCCGGAATGGACCCAGTTGCAGAAGAACTCCAAGGGCGACACCGTCTCCTTCCTCGAACGGGGAATCGCACGCGCATCCTTCCTCCTCCAGGTCTTGCTTCGCGCTTCGTAATTTCGTTACGCGGTGCAGGTGACGAGAGCGAGGAAGAATCAGCGTTGTGCTTTTACAGGGGAAGGTGGAGGCGAGGCCAAAAACCTTGTACGACGACATGAGGGAGGATGCCGAAGACGTTCCGTCGTGGAACCCCACCGTTCAATGGGTCAACATCCTATTCGTAAGTCCCTTCGAAACTCGATCGACCGAGACCCTCACGAGTTACGTGCTTTCGCATCGACTCGGCTTCTCTTTGACGATGACACTTGCAGCACGTGAGCAGGAGGTGCTACGTGTTTCAACAAGGAGTGGCGTCGGGAGCGTCGGGGTTTTTCACTGCCAGAAACTTCGTGAATCTCAGCTCCGGAAGGAACATCAACGGCACCTATTATCTCTTCTACAAATCCGTAAACGTCTCGCGAGCCAAATCGGTAGAGAACTCGGTCAGGTGAGTAGACATAATCATTTTTTCGGTCCGGCGAAGGGAAGAATTTCTCCACGTTTCTCTTCCGTCCGTCAGAGGAGAGAACGGGCCGAGCGCTTTTGTGATGTCCCCGACTCCTGGGAATCCCTACGAAACGGACTTCAAGTGGCTCTTGAACACGGATTTCAAGTTTTCCTGGTGGATTCAGGCCATGTCGTCCAAGATCTTCCCCAAAGTCATGCTCGATTATTTGAGCCATCTTCGTTCCCATGTCAAACGGCTGAAACGGGTTCCCGTTGCGTTGCAATAAACTTGTTTTTACAATAAACTTATTGTTTTTCTCATTTGTGTCGATTTTCGTCGTTTCGATCCCGTCCCGTGACATCAGTCGTGCTGGTCCGATGCAACAATTTCGTGACATTCGTGACATCGCGTCTCTCGTCCATGCGAGAGCGTCACAGCTCCCGTCTCGTGCAATCGTCTTCCGAAAATCAAATGTGTCATCCGTTAAAAGGTTCAAATATATTTTTTTGTGCCGGGGGGGATTGGACCAGGATGGAAATCTCGGTACGCGCTGACCATTCTTGAATACAAATGAGATTTACAAAAGGTTTTAAAATCTCACTCCAGACGTTCCATTTTCTTATTGATAAGGAGGGAACGCCTGACTCACCGTTTTGGAACAGTCTCGACTCTGAATAGAACAAAACGAAGGAAAATCGACTGGGATCTGGAATATCGACTGCACATGCCTTTGAGCATCGATACTCCAATAAAATTCGCCGATGAGAACGATGAATTTATGCATTAAAACCCCGTATGGACGAAATTGGATCCAGTCAGACCAAAACTCTTCTTTTTTTTTCGTCCAGCCATCACCGTTGATTTCCTTAGTTTTTCTCGGATTCCTCTTGCAATACATTTTGGAACGAGGACCTACGTTTATAATTGCGTCGATGATTGGAAGAAGACACGAACCGACCGGAATGATTCCTGGTCCAACCGCATCTTCCTCATGTCTCTCTTAAAACCTCAGGAGAAATTATTTTCGATGCAATGGCCTCCGAGCGAGCAGATCCAAGACAGGAACGAGTCGGAATCAGACGACATGCAGTCGACAATCGACATGCACTCGGTTCTCGTCGGTGATGAGCACTGCACGACACCTGAGCCACGAACGCCGATTCGGGATTTTCTCAAGCATTTTCCGTGTCGGAAGAATCGAGTCTTCGTCCTGTGAGTTCTTCGTTCGTTACATTTCGTACTGCGTAATGCATGGAATTCATTCATCACTTGGGGCAATGATCCATAAAAGGTCTCAGATGAATCCTTATTCACTTGGCACGGCCATTCTTTGCCCTTCATCTCGTCACTTGTATGCTCCCATTTGTAAAGGGAATAATAACTAGTATAGGCCTATATTAGCTATTGCTGGCGAAACATGCTCGATTGCATCTTAACCAATCGAGTTTTATACCAATGGTATTGAAACGAGGCGCAGCGTTGGCATCTGGAAGAAGAAGGAAAGATCGAGGATGTCTCTCGTCGTCAGAGACCATCATTAGTGGGGCTTAGAGCTGTCACCAAGTCACCCGTTGGATCGGGACCATCGGGTACAAAGGGAGCCATCGGATCGGGGAGGAAAAACCAACCGTGCAGGCTTCTAATGGGCGGACTGACAGGCACGCTAGCAAACAGACGTGGTTTATTATCATATAGATGAAGGGTTTGGGCGAGGATTCCACTCATAATGGCTTGTTGTTCGTTTCATGAACGTTCTTTTCGTCGTCCGTCTGACCTTAGATCATTTCATTGGAGCCGACGATCGGCCGTTGGCATATTGGAGTGACGGAGTGGCTAAGTTAAGGCAGGGCTGGGGCCTCCGAATAAAACCCTCCGGGGTCGAGTCGGGGCGGTTCACCTACTTGCTAACACGCTTCTGTCGACGCCTATACTAATATCGCCAGGATCTGGCAAGAACGAGGCGTCTCGTCCCGTGAACGATTCGTCCAAGATGCGATCGTCGACAGCTTCCAGTTCGCCGATGGAAAGTGTCGATCGGACGGCCGCGGAACGACGAGGAACGCCACGTCTCGCGAGTTTCTTTTCGTAGGGTTCGTCAACCCACCGTCCGAAGGAGTGTCGATCGTATGCAAATCAGGAACGGCCGGCGAAGGCGCAGCAAGGTGCACCTCGGCGAACCAGGTACTCTCGATCGACCGACACTCGAAGATGAGCTAACGCTGCGACGTTCGCAATTCCCGTCTGTTGGCGTGATGCCAGGAACATATGAGGAAATGGTGCGTTTAGAGTGCTTTTGTGAATGCGAGAGATAAAACCGAAAGAGGGGAAAAAAATCGTTCCACTTAATCTCGAACGGGCACGTCGCAGAGCCTTCCCTCGAATGAGTTGGCATCACCAGAAAGTGGTTATTTATGCGAATCCACATATTCCCTGCGGCCTCATGCAGCTCGGACAGGAAGCGATCGGTGCCATCTAAAACACGCATAAATATCCACATTTTCGCGTTCTTCAAACGATTCAACCAGGGCCGGATTAAAGGGGCAAAGGGGGCTGTTGCCCCACTCTTCTAGGGGGGCCCCCGAAGTAACTTAAAAACGTTAAGTATTTGCGTAAAGTGGGGGGGGATTAGCCCCAACAATCCACTTACCCCGGGCCTCGCCACTTCTTAATCCGGCCCTGAATTCAACTCATTCACGCAAGTATCTACATGTTCACGCTTCCTTATATCCGTTTTCTGCAGAAAGAATCGAAATCGAAATGCGGGCTCCCGATGCCAATTTCCAAGAAAAAGGTGCTGCTTTATGAAGGAAGGAGTCAATTTCACAAATTAGCAATAACAGACCATCTACACTCATCTGATGCCTGATTTTTTTATTCGTGCTGGCCTCCCCATTTCGTATCCCCACTTTCAATCAACGAATCTGGGTCTGAAAGTGCATATTTTTGCTTGGTATTCCTTCTTCATAACCATTTCGTGCATGTTTTGGCTTGTTTTTCTGCATATTTCAGGACTTTTTCCTTCGTAAAAAGCTGTCTCCTGGATCACACAACCAAGAATAAATTTGATTTTTTCCTCATGCCAGTTTCTCTGCCGTTTCCTGGAAGAAACACATTGGCCGATTTAAAGAGGGAAGGGGAGGAGGAGCGATACACGTAAGTAACAATTGCCTTTTAAAATAAGTACTCAGTGTTTCCATGGAGATCCAGAACACGTCAGAAGGATTTAGTGGGCGTGAGGATCTTTTTCTTATTTTATGAGAAAATATCTCATAAGAAATCCCACAATTTTGTAATATACGGATGTTGGTTTCCACAGCGGGACCCTATTTGAGCCCCTGAACTCGTATCGAGCGGAAATGAGGACACATTTATGGCGAACCCATAGAAAGTGTAAAGGCGAGAGAACCAGTGCCGAGACGGCGTATCATCTTCAGCGTATCATGTACCTACAAGATATCATCTTGGCATCGTCAGCATTACCGATTTGAGTTCGCTGTGTGGACGGGAGAGGGGCCGAAATATATACTAGTGTTCAAAAGAAACGTTACAAGGTAATTTAGGGCTCGTGGCAAGGACTTGCGCCTCACCCTCTTTCAGCATTTTTATCGCCCGGTCCCTTTGTTGCTGCGTTAGCCTTGGTATATCTCTGATGTTTTTCGGAGACAGTATGGCATGCAAAGTGGAATCAACTAATTTTGGAACTATGGAAATCTGCACAATACATATTGCATGGAGAAAAGTAGCTATATTCTTGACGTGGCACGTACACAGCGCTCAAAGGTCGGCGAGTACAGTACACGCTCCTCGTAATGTTCCGGCTGTTGATTTGCTCAGCATAAAGATGGATATAATGCCATCACAACTTCTTCTACGTGGGCAAGCCCTAAATTACCTTGTGACGTTTCTTTGGGGCGTTATTATATGAGGAATAATGAATCCGGCATGAGGAGAAGCAACGGAGGATTACGCGGGGATCCGCCGATGACGTCATTTCGGACCAGGAAGCTCCTCTTGTCCACGTGATAGACTGTGAGCTGGGAGAAAACCTTCAAGTACATGCGGGGTGACGTCGTCTCTGGGAGACGGTCGTCATCGTGAACGCTGCTTCTTGGGGGAAGTTTTTTCTCTGCTTGACAAAGCCAAAGCCTGCTTTCGTCAGGCGACAGACGGACGAGGTGTTTATATCGGTCTAGACGGTTCGTCTAGACTGATGTAAACACCTTCATGGTGAAACTTTCAACGAAACGGGATCGATCTACTAAAACAGGCAGAACTCTCGTCAATCTACGATCGAGAGACCAACTCAAGTGCCCTAAGGGGGGGAATAACTCTGTTGATTGGCAGATCTGCTTCCTGCAGAGGACACCACTCCAAACTGACATCTTCAATGAAGTTGCTAACAAGTCGGAGGATTTCAATAAAGCCACAGCATTCAATATTCAGCTCAACAACAGCCCTCAAGGAACTTGATTCTATGAAAACTTCGATCGATAAGACTACACCCCGCCATGCGAGCCCCGAAAGCAGATCTACGAACGGATACGGAAATTCTACTGCAATGCATCAATGATGACAGCAATTCACGATTGCGAAAGTGATGGCTTGAATGATGCCCTCGATGGTCCGCGCGTCCGTGATGCGAGCATCTCTCGAGAAGTCCTGCATAGTTTTTCCTACGAATTTGGTGGGGTGGGGAACTGGAACTTCAGTCCCAGTGGGACCTTTTGCGGGTCTACTTTCGAAGGATCCCCGACATACCATTTTTCTCTGGTGGATCCTATGTTGGACCTCCTCCAACACAAAGTTATACTAGTCTAGTCCTGTGTCGAATATGGTATATGGTATATGGTACGGCATATTTCCCTTTGGTATGTGGTGAGTGCCCAAATCGGAGGCATTTAAATCGGACATGGCTGGGGATAAAATTGTAAGGAAACGCGGATCGTAAAAGGTTTTAGTACCTCCGGTTCTGTTGATTCATCGATAAGGAAGCGAAATGGACGGTCCCATCTCGACTTCCGCAGCTTTGCGGGAACTCTGGTGGACTGCGATGGCCAAATCTGACATATCCAAAAAGGCTAAACCCTCGGTTTTGAGAGGCGTCGATCTCCCAACCTTCGCTGACGGACACGAACTGTGGGTAACGACCTAAAGAATGAGGCCGCAGACACAAGCCTCTCGGATGAGGGTCTTGGGACGGATGGTTCGCGGTACTTCGAGTGAGAGGATGCGGACTGCTGGCTCACGTGAGGTCGAGCAGCTATCTCTCAGGTCGAGAGATCTTGCAAGATCAATGGTGTAAATACGTCTCTCACACGCCCCGAGAAATTCCCGAAGAGTTACTCGGTCCCAAATGACCGGCAGTCGATCAGTGGGTAAGCCTCGTAGAAAGTGGAACGAATGTATCGCAAAGTTTTTGAAGCTCGAGGCTCGGCATTCCACCTGCCAAGCCCAGGAACGGAAAAATTCGAGGATGCTCCTGGAGTCCCATTTCGGCTTCAGCTGCTACCCCAGTTGGGATGGGTGGCAATGAAATTGTATGAATACATACCCTCTTACATCACATAGTGTTCGGAGCGGATATGCGAATAACAGCAGTGCTATTAATACATAGGCAGTCTAACCACCTGGTCCGTACTCGCGTCGAAGAGAAAGGACGGAATTACGCAGCCCTTGACAAGGGGAACCAGTCAGTAGTCGTAGCACACGGTTGGCAACATCCGAATAAAGCGTCCCGATGTGTTGCATGAGTCTGCGTGACACACGCGAAAGACACTCCAAGAGGCCTCTCTACAGAGGGAAAGTAACGCAATATTGAGGGCTACCGATTGGCAAGTCGCGGAGGGGGCAGTGTTTCTGGACACTAGGGAGGCTTTGAGTCGCTGTAGAAGTCCGATGGCTAGGGATGGAGTACATTTTTCGAAAGAGGGAGCTGTAGCAGTCGGATTAGCTATCATGAAGGAAAATGAGCCTTTTTTAGGGTTGTAGATGGGGGGGCAGGGGATCACAAGCAAGGGACAGCCACTACGAGCAGCTTTAGACCGCCGCGTACTGGTGTGCAGGATAGGCAGGGAAGAGTAAAGTGTTTCTACGCGAATGCACGCAGCTTACGTAATAAAATAGACGAGCTCAGGGGGCGGGCACTGGACAACGGTTTTGATGTCATCGGAATAACCGAGACTTGGGGA